TCCTGCACAGTCCTGTTCCCCCCCCCTCCCCGATGGAACTGTTATGGCGCGGGACGCACCGTCCAGGAGGGGGGCGATCTGTCATGTGTATGTTCCTGTTTGCCCTTATTTGGTTCTTCCTGTGTCCTGTCCTCATTTGTTATCATTTGTGTCCAGCTGTGTTTGATTAATTAGTTAATTTGTTCCTAGGTGTGTCCCATTGGTGTCTGTGTATTTATAGTGTGTTCTGCCCCTTGTTTCCCGTGTGCTGTTAAATGTCATCCGAGTTTAGCCCAGGGAGGGCTCCTGTCCCGAGTTTAGCCCAGTGAGGGCTCCTGTCCCTGTACTTAGCCCAAGGAGGGCTCCAGTCCCTGAATCCCCTCGAGCGCCCTCAAGTGCCCACTCCTCCAGAGTGCCCCCCAGGATTCCTAGTTTTCCCCAAGAAATTTTTTTTTTTAGGGGCCATATATCCGTGGCCGAGCCGGCTAAGGCCACGGAAGATCCGTCATGGCCTCCTGAGTCCCCTGCTCCGCAAGGCCACGGAGGATCCGCCATGGCCTCCTGAGTCCCGTGATCCGCCATGGCCTCCTGAGTCCCCTGATCCGCCATGCCTCCCTGAACTGTCTGCTCCGCCATGGCTCCCTGAGTCCCCTGCTCCGCCATGGCCAGGAGGGGGGCGATCTGTCATGTGTATGTTCCTGTTTGCCCTTATTTGGTTCTTCCTGTGTCCTGTCCTCATTGGTTATCATTTGTGTCCAGCTGTGTTTGATTAATTAGTTCATTTGTTCCCAGGTGTGTCCCATTGGTGTCTGTGTATTTATAGTGTGTTCTGCCCCTTGTTTCCCGTCTGCTGTTAAATGTCGTTCCTGTGTTTTGTAATCCTTTTGTTTATTTTTAATTAAATTCTAGTTAACGTATTCTCCAGCGTCTCCTCTTTCCTTCCTCCCCGAGTGACCGTGACAACTATTTGAATGTATTGCAAAATGTAATTTATTCCTGTGATAAAACCTGAATTTTCCTCATTACTCCAGTCTTCAGTGTCACATGATCCTTCAGAAATCAGTTCAAAAGAATATTTATTGGAAATAGAAAGATTTTTAAACATTATAAGTGTCTTAGTGATCCTTTTAATCAATAAAATAATTTATTTAAAAAAAAAAAAAGAATACCACTAACCTGAAACGTTTGAACGCTACTGTGGATTCACATCAAATTCAATTGAGATTCTACATCCTGTTTGTTACCCCAATTCAAATGTAATCCAAATTCAAGCATTCTAAATGTAATTCAAAATGACGCACAACAATCGCATTTAAATTCACAAGTGAGTGTAAGTTACAGATCTGTATGCGTACAGACAGCAGTGTTTGACATAATGCTAATCATAATATCACTTTGACTTCTCACAGCTGTAAACTACAACCATGCATGTAACACGGCATGTTCCAGTACAGTACATGGGCAGAGTGAGGCCGGCCCTAGTCCTGGGACTCTACCCGCAACAGCTCTTTAAAAACATAGATCGGTAAGTAATGATTTTATGACGGATCTCAGCGAAGGCCTGAATGAGTTTAAGCTCTCAAAAGAGCAGTGAAAAGCATGGTGTGAATGCGGCCATAGAAGCATTAAGAAGATAATCTTTCTTCAGTCAGCAAGTGCCGCAGGAACCTGGGACGAGCCACTGACAGCTCCAACAAAGCTGTGAGAGGGGAAACCGAGGCACACCTTGTCAAGCCTTAATTTGCTTTGATGCATTCCCCGCTGCCCCGAGCCATCTTGGCATGCAAGCTGAGACAGATGTTGCTCCTGTACGCCGCATCCTTACAGAGAGCTGCTTTTGTACGCCGGCGGAGATCATATTTAACCCAGCGTAGGGGGAACAAAGGCCGTCTCTGTGTGTGCTGGCTCTCCCTGCGAGCTCTTCGGGCCTGGGATGACAGATAGTATCTGACAGGCTCACATGAGTCGTTTTAACAAAAGGATTTTCTTTTTCTTTACTTTTTTGGATCCTGAAAATTACAGTACGCTAATAAACCCTAATCCCGAGCCGGGAATGCTGTGTTTTGGCTGCCGTGAGTAATCTGTTGTAGTGAAAAGATGAAGATCGGGAGCAAACCTGTCTCGCTGACAGAAGGATTATTAGGCTCTATCACAGCTCAGATACTGGCGGGTTCAAATTGTGTTGGATCCCAATAAAAGGGACGAAAAGAGGTTAAATCTGTCTAAAGCAGCCAAGAGCTGAAAGACACCGAACTTCAAAGGACATGTGTGACAAAACGGAAAGTGAAAGACGTAAAAGAGAGAGACAGCGATGGAGAAGCGAAACGCAATAAAATCTGTGCAGATGTGATGGGCCAAAACAGTATTTGGAAACAGAAGTAAAATGTCTGTTTTTGTCTGTATCTGTCAAATTCTGCACAATCTTGTCTCTTAACTAACCTTTTTCATCGTTTTTGGTTAGTGTCTTTTAATCAACTGGTGATTTGGTCATTTTTAGTTAGGGCTGTTAGCTGTTAGCTTTTAGTTCGATTTTAGGGATTCATTCGAATTTAATGTTTTGCCACGATTTTATTTTTTAGAAATCGAGGAATCACGATTGAATAGAAATATTACCAAACGTTAGAAATAGACACTTTGACAATATGCCAATGATAACAGTAAAGAGAAAAGATTGACCCAACCGCATGTCGGCACATGTGATTAACCGCTCACGCGTGACACACTCTGTGAAGGACCATAAGTACAATATATCGCTAGGTGACATTCACACAGAATTCACTTTTGTATTGACAAAGATGTGATGAGGAATAGGAAAAATGTTTAACTTGAGCGCAGCGTTTTTATAATGCCGTTTCATCCATGAGATGCTGCAAGAGATGCGAGTGCAACAGTCAAACACATCCATGTTTACATAGAAAAAAATCAATAAAAAAAAGCAGCTCAATCAAATAAAAAACCTGTAAAGAACTACTACTATACAGTATGTCTGATATTTCATGTTTGCATCATGGTGATAGGTTGAAAGCTGCTGTTCATTGTTTTTACAGAACATTTATAGTAAATATTTGTCTACTGGTGTTATACCTTCAGTCATTTTGAATCTGAATTACCTTGACTTTTGATAATTTTTTAAAGCATTTTCCTTGTATTATTTCTGAACATATAGTACAAGATGTAGTTGTAGTTCATGCATCTTTTCTGCAAAGATATTTAAAAAGTGATTTGTTTAACATTTACATCATGTTGACAACTTTATGTGTGGTGCACTTAGGATAGAATTTTCTTAACTAGAGGGTTAATAAAGAAAAAGTTACTTGAATCATGTTGTAGTTACAGTTTCAAGTTGACTAGTTAAAAATGGTAAAAATCGAGAATCGGCCAAACGCTCTGAAAAAAATCGAGATTTTATTTTTTTGCTGTTTTAGTGAATGCATGAAGCTCTGCTCAAGTTCACACTTGAATGTGAACTTGAGTTCCATATTTGCTCATCAAAGCGTGATTGATAAGTACCTGGTGACCAGCACAGCCACGTCCACAGGAGGAGGATCGTCTCTGCTCCCAGGAACGTGATTGTTTCCCAGGTATCGTGCGCCGTATTCCTCATGCTGCCAGTGACAGAAGCTCTCCAGGGCTTTTTCTCCATGGTGGCCCACCTTCAGCTTTTCCTAAGAAACACACTAGACAATTAGAATCTGATTTACAGACTTCAGCAAAACTTTAAATTAGATACTTCCCACTGTATTTGTAAGAAGGTCTGTAGTAACATATTCTTCTGTGGTCATTTGAACACGATCAGAGCATTAAACGTCAGTCAATTCACCTTACACGCAACTGAACTGTGGGATTTTTTTTTTCTTTAAAACAGTAAGACATAATGAATGGGCTGTAATTCTGTCTCACACAGCCTCATTTTCTTTAGCCTCAAATTAAATATGACAGACTCCCAGGGACAAACAGTTTACACTACTAGTCAGTGGATTTTACTTTAAAGACCCTATAAAACTGATGAGAGTAGTATTTCCTATTGAAACAGTAAAAGAGGCACACAAATCAAATTTGGGTTTAAAGAGCCTTTAGATGATAGTGTTTACATGAATCATGATTTGCTGCTTTGCTACTTGCTAGTCATTAGAGAGAGTTTTATTGAACAAATGTTTGTTGATAGTAAATGTTTCTTGAGCAGCAAATCAGCATATTAGAATGATTTCTGAAAGATCATGTGACACTGTGACTCCCGCTGACATGAAGTGGGATTTGTTGATTCATCGATCACACAATGAAATCAACAGGGTTTTGAGAATTGCTGTTGTACGTGAAGACAGTTTGTTTCAAGCATCAGAGACTGTAAGTCCAAAGGCTTTGCCCTGAAGCATCACTACATATTTACACTAATGGCTATTCAGTGACGTCCTGGCATACATCATTTCAGACTTTTGAGGTGAGCACTCAAAAAACCTTCTGGCAGACTCTCCGGAGCCTTTGGAGAGAATGAAATCCAGCAATAAAATGAAGGGGAAAACCGGTTGTTAAACACACACACACTGAGCGAGGATAACATCACAGGGATAAAACATCAAGGGAGCAGATAAATGGCAGGTTGAGTCATGATGTACATAGATCTGGATGTTGATCTAGTGTTTGTACACTTACTGGACGGGTGTGCAGGAGAACCAACTTGGTGACCCGGATGTGGATCCTCACACCCAAACTCTGGTGTTGAAACATGTTATACACCTGTAGAGAGAGAACGAGACAAGAGAATTAACTTTGACTTAAAATTCACTCAAAATATTTTAAAATGGAAAACATGTAGTATCAGTAGTAAGTTTCAGTGGATTTCAGTAGATTTTTAGACAAAAAGGCAAGCAAAAATGTGTTCATTGCCAAGAGCACATGTTATCAGCTGATGTTGATATCAAAATAGCCCAATATCAGCTGATTCTTTTGGCCTAGCTGGTATATTGAGCTATTCAGTACCATCTGAAAAAACATTGTAAACTGAAGACATTGTTTCTGTGGGTTTCACAACTCTGTCTTGTGACTTGAAAATATGAGTGTTAATGCAAAAATGATATTACAGTTGGTAAGTTTGATTTAATGTCTATTTAAATAAATTGATTCAAAACACTGATTCAATGATTAATTTGCATCATAATTAAAAAAGTGTCTTTTTTTGTTTCTTAAGGCCCGTTCACACCAAGAACGATAACTATAAAGATAACTGTAAAGATAACGATATTAGCGTCCACACCAGCGAACGATATCGTCTGTTTATTCTAAGCGCACGCTCGTCTGCAGCTTTAAATTCTCGAGCTCGTTACAGCAGGATGGATTCTGATTGGCTGTCAATTTTTTATCATTCATCAGCTGGAGAAAAATCGTTTTGAAAGTGATTCCAACTATATCGTTTCTCTTTGTCTTTATCGTTATAGTTGTGGTAGTAGCTATTCTTTAATATTGAGAACGATTTTTAGAACTATATCTTATTCGTTATCTTTATAGTTATCATCCTTGGTGTGAACGGGCCTTAAGGTGCTGGTCACGCTGAACGCAACAAATTTTGTACAACGGAGCAATGTAACTTTTTATCGTTATCTTTATTGTTATCGTCCTTGGTGTGAACGGGCCTTTATAATGAAAAACTGTGGAAAAATATGCCTGGGTTGTTTAAACAAGAATTTTACAGTATTTTATAAAATATTATGCAGTATTTAATTAATTGTATTAATTTTATTTTATATATATTTTTATATTTTATATTCTATTTTTATTTCCTCAGGAAATATCAAGAAATAATGTTACAAATATTTATTCATTTATTTAATTAATTATTTATTTAAATTCTATTAATTTATTTCAATATTATTACAAATATTCATTTCTTTATTTATTCCACTTTTCAATTCAACAGAAAAAGCTTATCTTTGTGTCATTTCTAATATCTGCCTACACCTTGTGTGAATATAGCACAATTTTGAGTAAATATTCTGTAGAAGCATCACCACTTGTTATTGAAAAAAAAACACATTGGCAAAGCCAAATCGCTAAACAATAACTTTTGAAATATAACATGTATTATCTCTACATGAAGGAAGATAAAAGAAGGGATAGAGGTGTTTGAGCTTTCATCATCCTCAGAGATGTAAGCTGTGTGATTCACAATACCATAAAAAAACATTACTGACTATTGTAGAATAAAAACCAACAACAATTCCATGCGGGATGAAGTTAATGAAGAAGTATAGAGCTGAACTGAAGGGAGGATTCAGATATTGATGAGTAACCGGCATCTGGAGGAGAATCGCAGAGACTGATTTGAATAACAGCACAATTTTCCACAGCGTTGTCGAACTCGCTTGTGAGGAATGTAAATCTAAGAACATCAGGGAGGACAAAAGGAGGTGTACTTTCTTACCAAATCACACACATCTGGGCAATTCATTCATTTTTACATTAATCTTTATATGACTCACCATTGTCATTAGAGATACAGTAGAAAGGGCCGTTCTTGAGTTGATAAACTTTGCTTTACCGCAGCAGATGCAGTGAGGTGTTGTTGTGTGGACTGTTTTACAGATCAATATTCAGTTTGTTTGTACTTAATTACGCAGGCCTGCTTCCAGACGCTCGCAGCAAACACTGTGTTTACGAACCTGTTCTGAATGAGCAACTTGATAAGAGTGAGGTCATTCACTCTGGGACACGACTGAAATACACAACTGAAGATGATTTTTCTTTATTCCTTCCTTTCAAACCTACACAAACAATCTCATAAATCTGAACAATCACAAAAGTTGTTAGGTAAAGTCAATAGAAAGTAAAATCAGATATATATATATATATCACCTTTATTTCAACTAACGAAGAACATTTTTAATACTTTTACTTTTAATTCACAAAAAAACACGGATTTATATGCAATTTCTCTAATATCACAAATCTCTTTCATTTTCAATTTTTCCAACCTCTCCAGCAACTTGACTCCATTCTGAAACAACCACTTCCAGTCCATTCAATCCCAGATGGATTAAATCAAGTCTCGTCCAACATTTTATTAACTCAATATCGTTTCGCTCAGAAACATGTCAAATTATGGAAATAAAAGGGGTTTTAAATTAGGTCTTTGCCAAGATTGTATAAAAAATAAGGGTGAACGGCATTTCTTAGCCACAACACTAGCAATACCCACTCCTACGGTAAACAGCATTTTACAGGTGCATTTACTTTAAATCTTTTACTAAAAGATTATGATTTAAATTCTGACTGGACACCTCAACTGCTGCTTTCTGTACACAGACAGCACACACATTTTTGGAACAGAGGCCATGTGATAAAACAGAGGTGTGTGTGTGTGTGAGCTGCCAACTCATGGATGTGTGTCTCACACTCAGCACAGCTGCGGTCAGCAGAGCAAATGTTACGCTCAACTACTATCTATCTCTCTGTCCTGTATTATGAGCCCATTCTCTTCTTGCCAGGACTTACAGTGTCCAAATGCTCTGTTACGTGCAAAATATGCAGTTTAGGCATATATTTAAACCATTTGTCAGTATAAACAAAATGCACGGCAAATACACTAGCGTAGGCCAGCGCTTCTCAAATGGTTGTTCTGACAGTCAGCAAAAAAAAACAAAAAACAGCTGAAAGCAAATAAGATACAACTAACCATGTAATTGTTGATAGTTAATACAGCAAAATAAAACGCTGATAAAACTCTGCCAATATCTTTTGCTGTTTGATGCCTGTGCCTCAAACTCAGCAGTATTTTATTGCAAATTAATCTGTTACCAAGCAGAAGCCAAATTAGGCAGATGGCGACATGGACAGGTTGCCTGACATGCCCTCATCTGTAAAAATCATGGACGCAAAGTAAAAGAAAACACGGCCCAGGCTGAATTAAATACTGGTTCACACATGCAGCATGAATAAACATTTGTAATGACCACAATGTGTTTATTTATTATTGGCTGTCGAGAGCATGACACCATCAAAATTCATTTGGAAACCAAAATTGTCAATTTTCCCATTCAGCCAGTGTCATATTGTTGGGCCTACTTAGTTTTAACCCTGTAAAGACCACTGTATCATATTTGATATGCAAATTTCTGTAACACTTTAGTTTAGGGACCAATAATCACTATTAACTAGCATATTGGCTGTTTATTAGTACCTATAAAGCAGTTAATAATGCCTTACTCCTGCATTACCTTATTTTAGATACCTTGATCTTATCCAATACCTCAACTTAACGACTACCTTACTAACTATTATTAAGCAGCAAATTTAGGTTTAGTTTACGGAGGCAAAAGTCGTAATTAATAGTTAGTTAGTTAATAGTGAGAATTGGCCCTCAAACTAAACTGTGAGCCACATTTCTAAGGCCAATATAATCAAAACTTAACTGAAAAAACTGTTGCACAAGGGACTACTGGTCAGACATTTTTAGAACACTTTCACAGGCCCTTAACACTACCCTTGCCTCTAACGTATTGACTGTCCTATTTGGCCTTCCCCCAGCTTCAGTTGTATCATCCACAGTGTGCTGCATCATTGCCTTTACCACTTTGTTAGCTAGGCGTGCCATCCTCCTTAAATGGAAACATGCCTCTCCCCCATCACATGATGATTGGATACGAGAGGTATTGCAATGCATCCACCTTGAAAAAATCAGACACTCTTCCAAAGGATCATTGAGATCCTTTTACAAAATATGGAGCCCTATATTGGGCACTATTGAGAACGTAACTGTAACATCTGGACCTTCTCATTAGAGTCTTAGTAGGGGACCATTTGACTAAACTTGAATTGTGTTTTTTTTCTTTTTTGTGTGTGAGGCCTTCGGGAAGGGTTGTGGGTGGGGGTTTTGTTGTTCTGTTGATTTCTTTTGTTTCTTGTTTTTTCCTCTTATCAGACATCCTGTCTCATTTTGTAACTGAGATAATACATTTTATATGTCTGCAAAATTTAATACAAAAAACCTGGATTAAAAAAAAAAAACTGTTGCACACGTGCCTTCTGTCTGATAGTTCATACTTTTTTAGCAAGTAAAAGGCCTTTCAGTGAAAACAAAAACAAAACTTTTTTTATATTTTGAAACCGTTCCATTTCTAAATATTTGATTATTCTGACTACTATTTCATATGTCAAGCTTTATAGAGTTAAGGACATTTTTATCTTTGTGCAAAATCTAGGTCTTGAAACAAAACCATTTGAGAGCATCTCATAGATCACTCGCACATCACAACCTCAGAGAGCTCATGGTAGTTCTGTCTTGAAAGGATATACATTTTGTTTAAAACCAATTCCTTTATGGAGAAAATTAATTGGGCATTTGCTTTTTAACACGATTGTGGAGGTTTACCACGGTATGAGACTCACCATGTTCATGACGGTGAGCAGGAAGCGCTGGGCAGCCTCAGCTCCGTGATACTGCACCATGTCAACGTCGGCCACCACGACCGTCTCCACCGTGTATTCTCTGCTCAGCCTGATGGCGTTCCTCCTGCCACGGACCTCCTCTGCTCCTTTTGCCCTTTTCTCTTTCTTCCTGTCTAACACACACACAGATACACAAAAGCACACACAAGAACTGTTAGGCCTGAGAAATACTGTACACTAATGTTCAAACATTTGAGTTGGTAAGATTTTTTTATGTTTTTGAAAGTAGTATCTCATGTTTACCAAGGCTGCATTTATTTGATCAAAAATGCAGTAAGAACAGTAATATTATAAAATATTATTGCAATTTAAAATAACTGTTTTCTGTCAGGATCCTGCCCTGGCAGTCTTGTCTGTCCTGTCTTTGTTTAATGTGTCTTTGTATATTTTGTGCCTGAGCACATGGCTGTGTCTTTGTTTGTGTTGGCCATGTGCTCCTCTTGTCCTTCCTCCTCGTTTTCAATCACCACGCCCCCTTGTTTAGTCCTTGTTTGTCCAATTGTGTTCACCTGATCCTCGTGTGCTCTACTCCCTTTTTATTGTGCTCATTTCCTTCTGGTTTTTGCTGATTTGTTTTGTATGCCTTGTGTGCATTCTCCTTGCTTGTGTCTTTAGTCTTGTTAGAACTTGCTATTCAGTATATTGCATCCAGTCTAGTTTCCCTCTTGTTAATTCTAGTTTTTATTTGTTCCCGTGTTTAGTCTATAGTCTAGTTCCAGTCTTTGTGGTTTAGTTCCTTTATTTTAGTTATTGATCTTTTTATTTTTGTCCTTTTTATTTTCTTTTTTTTCAGCAAGGTTGCCGTCTTTATTTATTTTTGTTTGTAGTTCTAGTCATTTATTCCTAGCTTTTTCCTTTTGTTTTCATAAGTTCGTTTATGATTTATTTATTTTTTTTACTTTTGTTTTTCCTTTCAGTTTTATTTCTTGTTTTATCTCCCTAGTCATAGTTTTGCAAGTTTTTACTACTTTTGATCTGTGTCTATCTCTTGTCTCCTGTTGTCTTGTCTTTGTGTGTGTCTGTCGTGTTGGTTCCTGCCCTGCTTCCTGAGTCCTCCCTGGTCGCTGATTCTTCTGACCTGACAGACATTTTGGTGCTTCAAGAATTACCATCCCCAGGGCCAAGCCTGTGGTTCTTTGAGCTGCTAGTCCCCTTTTGCCACCGAGTCTGGAGCTACCCCCATCCCCGACCAGCCTGTTCTCCTGTCGTGTGCCCTGCCCTATTGTGTGGACCATCTTCCTGCCTCGTCCTTTTGTGTTCCCATTTTTGTTAAACTGTTTCCCCCCCGTTCATTCTGCATCTGGGTCCTCCTTAGCCAAACTGTGACGGTTTTCTAATTTCATATATTTTAAAATCTAATGTATTCCTGTGATGCAAAGCTGAATTTCCAGCATCATTACTCCAGTCTTCAGAGTCTCATGATCCTTCAGAAATCATTCTAATATGCTGATTTGCTGCTCAAGAAACATTTCTCATTGTTAGTTAAAAACGGTGCTGTTTAATATTTCATGTTACATCTTTTTCAACATCTCTGACGAAAATAAAGTTCAAAAGTACAGCGTTTATTAAATTATAAATCTGTTGTAACACTATGAATATATTCTTTACTGTCACTTCTGATCAATTTAATGCTTATAATAAAAGCATCATTTCTTTAAACCCCAACTGTCGAGCTATAGTGTACTTTATGCACACATGAATGCTTGATCCACACATTGCAAGCATGAATATTAAAGGGATAGTTCACCCAAAAATGAAAATGTGATGTTTATCTACACCCAGGGCATCCAAGATGTAGGTGACTTTGTTTCTTCAGTAGAACACAAACGAAGATTTTTAACACAAACCAACCAAATTAAACCCTGCGGCTCGTGACAATACACTGATGTGTAAAGACACAAAACGATCGGTCTGTGCAAGAAACTGAACAGTATTTATATCGTTTTTTACCTCTGATTCACGTAATATCCGAACTGTTCGAACTGTCCTGAGCGGTGGCGCGTTCTCAACAGCCGGCGCCTGACGCGTCTTCTTTTTCTTGCTTTATGCGGATCGCAGACTTATAAGTGCATTACCGCCACCTATCTCTCAAATGGACCATTGACACTCTATCTACAATCTCAATTAGGAGTGTCAATGGTCCACTTGAGAGATAGG